TTAAAAAGCCTTTCACAGTCTCAGTCATATTTTGAGTTATTTATGTATTTGCTTCATAGTTTGCAGAGACCTGTCAGTATCAGGAGAGCTTGAGGATTTGGATTCCCAGATTGTCAGTATACTACAACTGAATTCTTAATGCTAACTTTAGCACCTTTTATTTATTGTTTCTTTTGGTTATTTTTGCTGGTATAAAAAAAAAAAGTTGGAAAAGCCTTTTAGTTGCATTGTGCCACCCACATGCCTATACTGTCAATCCCCCTGCTTTGGGGGGAAAAGAGAGAGTTTGGTGTTCCTGTGCACAGAAGCTTGTAACAGGCCCAAGAGAAGGACAGAAGGGGGGGTATGTTTGGGTTTGGTGTGTGTCTCCCCCCTCCCCCCTGCCCTTTTTTTTTTTTTTTTTGGTGGGTTTTTTTTGAATGTAAAGTTAGATTATAAAAACAAAAGTGCACACAGCTTCTGATGAAAATTTAAACTAGGCTTCTATCATAACCGTGTCTTTCCAGATCTTTCTCGCCTCACCCCCACCTCTCTTTCTCTGTATCCTTCCATCTCCGCAGCATCGCTCGCGTTGTAAATTCACAGACTTGGACACCAGGTGGTGTTCTCAGCAGAACTGTGACGTGTACGCTAACCCAAAATAACAGCGGCAAAAGAAGCAACCCCATAGACTGAAGTTTAAGTTCCATTCCTTTTTTGGTTTTTTTTTTTTTTTTTTAAAAAAATCCTCAAATCCTGATTGTTTCCACATAGAGCAGTACAAGCTTTGTTTTCTTTTAGTCTCTGCAACCGAAAATGTTTCAAGGGAAACTTTACATGAGGTTATCCTGAGAGTTACCCCCAGTAGGGACTTTTTTTTTTATTGATTGTTGAGGATTTTCAAAAACTTTTCAAGCTGTAGTCTTTTCAAACACATCTTCTGCACATTACAATAAGACACACGGTTCAATAAAGCATTTTCAAGACTGTTGTTCAGTTGATTTTCTTTGGGTTTGATGTGTTATCCAGACAGTTTTGTTCCAGAAATCTCTGCAGCGGTCTTAACCAAAAGCAGTTTATGCAGAATCCCGGGTGATGCACATAAACGCGTTTTTAAAACCAGGTCCTTTGGTGGGGGATGAAGTGCGTAATCCTGAGCTCCTCCCAGGTAGATGAGTTCAAGTTTCTGTAGGACAAGATGCGTTTAAGATGATAGGCTTTCCCTCAGTGCCTTGTTACTTAGATGGGGTGCAGGTCTGGTCTCCAGAGGACGCTTGCATTGTGTGGTTTCCAAAACTCCGCTCTGCTTGCTTTGGAGGGGACACAAACCAGCATTACCCTTGTTTATTTAGAGGCTGAATACGCGCTGACTTTGATTTAAAAGTATTTTGGGGCATTGCATCAACTCTTAGAAATCTTTGATTGCTTGGGTTAGGGCTTTTTTTTAGGTTTAAAAACAATACTGGAAATCTCCAAGGGAGCTGTTCATTCTAGCAGTCTGCCACTTCCTATTTGCAGGGAAGCTTTGTCATTTTTGGGGTTATTATTTCCAAATCATCTGTGGTTATTTTCAAGGTGCTGTGGCCTACAATGAAAACAGCCTTCAGGAGGTTTGCAGGAGGATCCTGTAGGGGGTTACTGCCTTCTCGCTGTGAGGTGAGGGAAATAAAAAAAGGCAAACAAAACCACCCCAAAGCCACATCCCAACACGAGCACCACCTTATCCTTGGTGCTTGCAAAATCTGTGGGGTGCGGTGCAGCCCGCCTCGGACACCAGTCTGCTGTCGAGCGTGCTTAGCTGCTTGGTGAGAAGGTCTCGGCGAGCGAAGGGCGTAGATGTGTAGCCAATGTCTTGTAGCAGTTGCAGGGAGATGCAGTCTTGCCATAGGAAACCCACTGTTTGCATCTTGTGATCTGCTTTAGTCGGGGGGGGTGGTCTGTGGGGTTTTGGGTTAGTTTTTTTTTCTGTTTGGGTCAACAGGAAAAGACACTTGTGCAAGGTGCTGTAGTAAAACAATGAAAACGCATTTTAAGGTTCATTCACCTCAAGTTTCACTTGCAGTTGGTAACAACTGCCTTCATTAGTTCTCTGGAATGTTTAGGGGTGGGTGGGTGGTTGCATTTTGGGGTAGGTTTGGCTGCTGCTTTTTTTTTTTTTTTTTTTTTTTTTTTTTTAAACCTTCTGCCTTTCTCTTGGGAAGGGTTTGTGAGGCCTTCCTTCTCAGTGTGGCGTTGTGCTCCTGGGCAGCCTGTGGAGAGCGTGGCTTGGCCCAGAAACCAAACATCTAACTGTGTGTACACTTTGCACCTTTGAGAGGCTTCTCTGGTGGGAAGGCGTGACAGCAGCCACCCCCGCCGGGGGGGAGGGATGCTCCGCTGCAGCCTGGGGCGATGGGAAGACCCGAACCCAGGATGCAGTGGATACGTTTGGTAGGCGAAGACTTATCCCGTTACATCTCTTAATTTTCCTCTCCTCCTCCCTGACATACATGACCTTCACGTCTTGGATCCCAAGGAAATGGAGCCAGTGGAACTGTCCCTTTGCTGCACTGTGGAGTCACGCTGGGGGTCCTGCAGGCCCAGCAATCAGGCTGGTGCAGCACACACACCCCCCCCGGAAGGGTGCTTAAAAGGGTGCATAAAAGCGGGGTCCCTGCAGCTGCGGGGTGCGCAGCAGCGGCGCCGGGGGAGGCGGCCCTGCAGTGCTGTGGCCCCTCTGTTGGGCCAGCAGCTGTGGCCAGGCAGGGTGGGCCCCAATTGTCCCCCACCCCCCTGTGGGGCATAAGGAAGGGGACAAATGATGTCAGGAGGTGACAGCCTTGCAGGAGTTGACGCAGAGGAGTCTCAAGGGACAGGGAGGGGGTGGGGGCGACAGGAAGAAGGGGTGCTGGGTTAGGGGAGAGCTGGGACAGAAAAGTAGAACAGCAAACACAAGGAGAGGTCAGCAGTGGGGGAATGACAGTGGAGGGGGTGATGGTCAGCGGCAGGAGTTGCTGAAGTAATGGCCAAGGTGATGAGGAGCAAAGGGGGGGTGGGACTGAGGGTGGCAGAGGACCCGAGTGAATCACTGCCAGCAAGAGGAGAGGCTCTGGCCAGTCCCTGCCTGCGGCTCGGGGGGGAGGCAGCCGCTGCTGCTGGGGCTCTCCTGCCCTCCCCAGCCAGCAACTGCCTCAGCCCAGGCCCCAGGGCTCTCCTGTGCTGCAGCCTGGTGCAGGGATCCTCCCATTTTTGCTCTCCTATTCCTTACACGGAGCTGGAAGGGTCTTTGCGCATCCTCCTCGGCACAACCCTCGCAGGCTCAGCATCTCTTGCTGCTGTTACCTTCTCTCTCTCGCAACTCACACCACTTACCCCTGTCTGACACCACCTCCACCCCCAGCCCCAGACAGCAAAGCTGCTGGTCAGTGCAGAAAGGAAGGACAACTGTCTCTGCTGCTATGGCCAGTGGTTGGTTTTTTTTGCCTCCCCACCTTTAGCTACCTCTGCAGCTAAACTTCATCCGCCAGAGACCGTGGTGCTACTCCCGCCATTCGGCCGTAGCCCTCTCAGAGGCAAACGGTGCCAGGCAATTTTTGCTGTGGTGGGCCAGCCAGATCGGATGCTCCCCAGGGAAAGCCAGGACAGTTGTGGTTTCTGGTGTGCTCCTGCTGCTGCCCACCTGCCCTTCTCCCCCCCAGGAAACCCCTTCCCAAGGTGCCACTCAAGTATCTAAGAAGCAGGCAGGCCAGCTGGCACCAAAGCAGCCCAGCTGTAGCTGTGCTTTGGAAAAAGCCCAATGTTTTTCCCAGCTGTTCTGCAGCCACTGATTCTAAGTGCATTTCAACACCCACGTGCCAAATAAAGGAAAACCAAGCACTTACATTTTATATAAGCATTTATTTACAACTTGTTTAACAACTGTACACTCTTTGTCACCTTGGAAGCATTAGTGTATTTGAGTGGGAAAAAATATTAAACCTTTTGATTCCAATGACCATTATGGAGTCTTTTTTGTCTATATACAAATATGTATATTAATACTGCTACCATGACAATCTGGTAGTTACACAATTTGTAGATGAACTGAAATGGGAAATGAATGTTTTGACACTCTAGGAATCCATTCTCTTACAGAAAATATATCACTGGCAACTTCACAAACAGTTACTTTGATAATTGGTCAACACTTAATTCAGGACTGTCAAACAAGCTGCTATTAAGAAAGTAAAAGAGTTTTCTATGCAGCACAAATGAAGTTAGTATATCAGAGACATGCTGGAGATCACCTCCGAGTCGCGAGCTCGCAGTCGCTTCACGGACAGAGATGCTAGGCTGAGCTAATTACTGGAGCCAGCTCGCTTGCTGGAAGCTGCTGCCTCCACCCGGCATCTCTCTACGGCGCTGGTGAACTCAAAACAGTTTCTGTCAAGCTAAACACACTTACATACCAATGTCTGCAGGCTCAAGAACAACTGATGCTTAGTCTCTAATTCGCACAGACCACATGGAGAAAGGAGGCACTGCTCGGCCTCACCTTGGGACGCCTGCGCAGGCAGGTGCACGAAAACACAGCCATCCCCTCCTGCCTGGCACAGGGCCCTGATTTTGGGGATCCTGCACCCCACCCAGCTTGGGGCAGGGTGTGGTGCCAGCCCAAGCAGCACTTTCAAACGAGGAACAAATCATGCCTTAACACCCAACAAAAAGAAGTTTGTCTAATAACGCTTGCCCTGACAACACGTAACACGGGATGTACGGCTCGGACCAGGGAAGACACAAATCCTTCAGCCCAGCCCGACGGAAGTGCTGCTGCCTCTGCAGCAGGAACACCCGACTTGTCACCACTGGAGCCCACACCCTGCCTGCAGCCCACCTCAGACTTCACTGCCACAGGTCCTGGTAGACCAGGAAAGACATCTCCCCTCCGGGCATCCAGAAGGGAACACGCCACACGCTTCTCACCGGGATCTTAATGCTTATCCTTCCTCTCCTGCACTGACTGCTTGGAGCCCATTCCCACCTGCCCCTCCCTTAAAGGACACAATCTGCCTTCTCTCCAAGCCATCCTGCAGCACGCCAGTGACATGCTGGGCGTCTGGGCCCCCAGGGACTGAGCACAGGTAGGCGCCTCAGGGCGCACGGTGCAGCTCTGCCCAGAGTCCCACGTGACGGGCCGGGGGCCAGGCTCGCGTTGCCTTTCCTGACCAGAAGCGACCGCGGAGACCAGCGGACACAGCACTTCTCCAGCACGGGGGTGCTCGCGCGGGAAACAGGGCCAGTGGTTATGCTACCCCCTGAACAAGCAAAGCCATTCTTGGAGTAAGCAGAGTACATACGTGCTTGTATTTTTGCAGGATTAAGATCCAAGTGAGCAAGAACGGGGTTTGTCCAGAACTGGACTTAAACCAAACCACTTAATGGCACTCATCATGCCGACTCTCTTCAGATTTTCCGACAAATCCTATGGCTTAAAAGCCCCCCTTCCCTGTTTGTTACATACTAACTCCTATACGATCAACCTCTTAACTTACAACACTACAGCACTCCCTCACCTTCCGAATCTTGCCAGTACTGGATGTCCAATACAAAACAAAGATACAGTAGTACAAATGTGCAGATATTTAAGAATATTAAATAAGCAGCTTTTTAAATTAATATAGGCAGTACAAAGCATTTTGAGTTACACTGTCTACATAATGGCAAATCTTATCGCTCAAGTTCATAATACAAAGAAACAGCCAAGCTAGTGCAATTGGAAATTAAATAGCTAAGACTGCGGTAAGGAGGAAAAAAAGAAAAAAAAAAATAGTACAGGTAAAAGTTAAACGACCCAAATTATAAACTGGCAAGGACAGTCTGTATTAATACTGAAAGTGTAGGCAGCTTTCAAACTTATCTCCATTCACGTTGTCTCCTCAGATTGTTTTAACAATTTTACACAGATTGAAAAAAAAAGTTTCTGAAAGAAACCAACAACACAGCTAAAATGCAGAGAGAAAAATACAACAGCCACAAACTACGGTGTATATACATAGTAAGGAAGCAGGCAGCGCCTGTGAACAAAATACCGCCCGGTAGTTTGCCTGGCTCGGAGATGACCAGATGAAGCTTGCCTGGTTTTCTAAGGAAGATGGGATGGCCAAGCAGCAATTCCTTAGTCATTTCTCCTGGTAAAACACCTCCTTCGCTTTAGTTTAATTATTTAGAGATTCAAAGTGGATCCTTTAAGGGTGCAGGTGCTTTGAAATTTTAACAGTAACCAAAAGGCGTTTTTAGGAACTCATTAAGACTAGAGTTCTATAGTTCAGCGTACGAAAATGTTGCAGGAAGTCTGTGTGTTAATACTGTTAATCAGAATAAATAAAGTGGACAGGCCGAAGTAAAATGGAGAGCTGACACTGCTCTGTCAGTTTGCAGAACGCCTCCTGTCGAGTTCTGAATACTGGATTTTCTCTCTCCTAGCCTCACAGGAGACTTTTTTGTGAAGAGAAAGAGCAAACGGAAGCGGGAAATGGGAAAGCCACTCCCGAGGATGGTAAGCTTCTCTGCAAGTAGATCCCCCTTTGAAATCAGATGGCCATGAGTCTTAAGTGTAGAACGGGTTAAGTTTTGGTTATGCAGTCTGGACAGAAAAGCAAGTCATGCACTGAACAGTCCCTGTTACAATAATGCTGCGGGTCATGCAACCACATCACTGCAAATAAAAGAATAAAGAAGAAAGTTAAAAAGCAGGTAACATATTACCGTTAAAAAAACCCCAGAGATCAGAACAGATATTTTTCAGAGCAGTTTAGTAAGGCCGTCTCTACTTAGAGATGTGCAAATTCATGGGGAAAACATCTTTGCCAGAGCAAACTCTTCAAATTAACAGGAAGGTTACACACTGATAATTAAAAAGAACAACAAAACAGCCTTGAACAATATCTAAATTTAAACATAATTCAGACAAATTTAAACACGTAAGTAAGCGAAGTCCTTCAGGGGACCATTCTCAACCATCACAGCTATGGCAATTAAGTTTACACAGCGATGAAAAAGTCTCAGGCATTCC